AAAAGGCTGAGCAGGTGTTCTGGTCTGAATTATGTCCCTGCCAAACTCACATGTTGAAGCCCTAGTCCCCAGGATCTCCAGACATGACTGGATTTGGGGACAGGGCCTTGAAAGAGGTGATGAAGGTAAAATGAGGCCATGGGGGGCCCTCATCCAATCTGATCAGTGCCCTTGTGTTCTTGTAAGAAAAGGACATGAGGACATGTAGAGGGAGACAAAAGAGTTGTGTGTGCACGGAATAAAAGACCACATAGAGAGGTAGCAAGAGGAAGGTCACATACAAGCAAGCCAAGGAGAGAGGCCTCGGAGGAATCCAGTCCTGCCCGCACCCTGACCTTGCACTTCCAGCCTCCAGTTTCTCTTGTTTAAGCCACCCAGTCTGGTAGTTTGCTGTGGCAGCCCTAGCAGACTGATACAGCAGGGAAAAGCAGTGGCCAACTATCCCCTTATTTCAGGTATCTGAGAATGGTTTCATGTAGGTCTAGCTAGACTACCCCCCGTGCTTACACCAGGAATTTCTGAAGAAGGAAAGACCTATGATCTCTGAGATGAAGGAGAATGTTTCCTTTCTCACGGGCAGGCAGGCAGGCAGGCAGGCAGTGACTATACCGTGAGAGTCAGCGTGTGACTTGTCCCCAGAGGGAAGAACTCATCAGCAGAGAATAAACTCCAGAAATGATTTCAAGGGCTCAGGGTCTGCTGCCAGAGGGCACTGAGGAGAGTGGACTCTTCCAGAGTGGTTCTTAAAAAGCTTCTCTGAATGACCAGACCTCCTCCACAATAAACATGCCCCTTCTCTTTAAAGGCATCCTTTGCTCTAATTGTGGCCATACTTCTTTGGTATTTTAAAAATCACCCCCACCTGTGATGCTTAGAGGATCTCCTCTGTTATTCTCTTCAAAAGGGGAAGGAAGGAAGGGAGGGAACTGGTGTTTACTGAGCACCAAGCACTTGACATCAAGAATGAGCACTTACTAAGTATTAGCTGTGATTGTTAACCAACTAGAAACAGCACTCAGAAGCGGTGCAGAGAACTGGGTGAAAATACAAAGCTTCTGCAGGTATATCCTGTGACTTCTGACGACAGGAAAATTACGTATTTTCTAATGAATGCTTTTCTAGGCAGTTAGCTTTTTAAAAGGAGTATTAACCCTTTTTTAATATAAAAAGGGAAGTTCTCCAGCTTTATCTTCCATTTTTATCTGGACAAAATTCTGATCAACAGACATTCTTCTAAGTACTCATAAGATTCATGAATCTACAGACCAGTTATTTTGCTTTAATAAAACCTTGTCCTTTTCTAAATTACTTAATTCTTAATAACACATCTTTAAAAAGCAATGTACACATGCCTCTTTACTGAGCACCTTAAGATTTTAAAACACCAGGCTGCCCATGGACATGGGCAGGGTGAAATAAATTCACAAACCTGGAATATGCATAAATATTTAAAAAGGAAGAGCTGGAAGGAAGTTAGCTCATAAGAATAGTGATGAAGCTCCTTTCATTTTATAAGTTAGATAACAATAAGTGTGTATGATTCAAGTTATTGCAGTAACAATGAAATCTGTGTGAACAAAGAGGGCATGAGTTCCCAGCACATTTCACTGTCCTGTCTCCAGATACAAATAAGGCATAGGGGTCATTCCAGGATTTCAGAAAAAGACTGTTCCATACAAACTGTGATGGTGACATCTTTCATGAATCTTAGAAACTTAAATAATGAATTTGTATGAAATTATGGTACACTGATTAAAACAAAACAGTCATTCAATTCTACTGGGGTGGAGCTCTCTGCATGGGCATGGGACTAACCAAGAAACAAAAGGGGCAGAGATGGACATGTGGTAAATTCCAACTACCTATGTGTTCCCAGCGTAAACCTAAGTGCTGGAAATGGACAGTAACCAAGAAACACCGAGTCTTTGACGTCATGGAGCTTACACGGCCCTGAATCTTCTGACAATTACCTAGCAGGCAGTAAGCAAACGGCCTTTTCCTTTTCCTCCTTTCTCTCCAAATGCCAAAGGTTAATATGATGTCTATAAACCACAAAGAACAATCAGCCCCCATTCTGCTGCTGAGAAAATGATTCATTGCCAATCCTATTCCTCTGCATCTAAGAGATTTTTTCCTTTGGTTTACTGGTTTTTGTCTAACAAGAGTTCATCCTAGCCTTGGTTGGTGTGGCTCAATGGATTGAATGCCAGCCTGCAAGCTGAAAGGTTGCTGGTTCAATTCCTGGTCAGGGCACATGCCTGGGTTGGGGGCCAGATCCCCACTAGGGGAATGGGAGAGGCAACCAATTGTTTCTCTCACACACCAGTGTTTCTCTCACTCTTTCCTTCTCTCTTTCTAAAAATAAATAAATAAAATCTTTAAAAAGCAAAAGAGTTCATCCTACAGCATTTTCTTTTGAAATACACTGAAGCTATTTTATTTTATTTTTTAAAGATTTTATTTATTGTAAGAGAGGGGAGTAGAGAGAGAAAGAGAGGGAGAGAAACATCAATATGTGGTTGCCTCTCATGTGGCCCCTACTGGGGGCCTGGCCCACTCCCCAGGCATGTGCCCCGACTGGGAATCGAGCCAGCAACCCTTTGATTAGCAAGCAGGCGCTCAATCCACTGAGCCGCACCAGCCAGGGCTCAGTGAAGCTATTTTAACGTTGCATGACAGCAACTACTAAGTTAGTGAAAAGTTATTTTAGGCCCTGGCTGGTGTAGCTCAGTGGATTGAGCACTGGCCTGCGAACCACACGATCGTGGTTTGATTCCCAGTCAGGGCACATGCCTGGGTTGCAGGCTACTTCCCTGCAGGCCAGTCAGTTCCCAGCAGGGGACGCACGAAAGGCAACCATACATTGATGTTTCTCTCCCTCTCTCCTTCCCTTCCCCTCTAAAAAAATAAATAAAAAATTTTTTAAAAAAAGTTATTTTACCTGTGTATGACTTTAACATTATTAAAGCTTACAAAATAATACATAGCAGAGGAATATATATGTATCTCAACAGATGCAAAGGGAAAGCATATTGAGACACCAGTTTATATCAACTGTATATAGTGTATATAACACCAAGAAAGTGTTAAGTGTTAATAAGAATCTGGAGCAATGGGACATTCCTCTTTTTGGAAGGAATGTACATGTTAAAAATCACTTTGGAAAGTGGTCATTTCTTATCAAATTAAACATATCTTGCTATACAATTGAACAAGTGGTCATTTAGGTATTCATCTAAATTTACACAAGAGAAAAGGAAACATGCCCACACAAAATCTGTATAGAAATACTATTTACAATAGTTTCCAACTGGAAACACCTAAAGGCCCATTAAATGTGAATTTACAGGAACTGTTGGAAATTCACATTACAGAATACTACTCAGCAATACAATGTAATGAATTATCCATCTATGTAACAACACAAATTTCAAAAAATTAGTTGAACAAAAGAAATCAGACTCAAAAAAGTACATATTGTATGAGTTCATTTACGTAATATTTTAGAACTGGTAAAATTAATTCATAAGTGTATAGAAAGCCCATCTGGGGCATGGAAAAAGTTGGGGAATGACATGTCCAAAAATAATTTTTTTTAATAATAATAATACATAGCAGCCAAATGGTGGGTTTCGTGTTTTGCTAGTAGGCCATCCTCTGCTCATAGTTCATGGTTTCCTTTCATTGCACGGTTAAGAGAGTTGCCCCATCCTAAACAGTAAGACGTACCTTTCTGTCTCAGAAGACCACGCCTGGCTTTAGCCATAAACCAAATGCTTCATCATCAGTACAGTCTTGGCAAGGTAGAAATAAGCAGATTCCAAGAAGTGCTTTGGCTTTTTTCTCTCTGACTCAGCACTGAGGATTATTGTAAACTTCTGTCAGATTCAATTCTACAGTATTTCTCCAAATTAAGGTGCAATTTACTTCTAGCTTTTCTTACCAACCTTTTTTATATGCTGTAATTTGTTTCCGTAATGAAAAAGAACTCCTTTAGATTTGAAATCTACACACAACATACACTGCATGGTTAAATACCCCATCTAAGAATTCTTAGGTATCTTTGCACCATTCATAGTAGACACGTCCTGCAAAGTCAACTTCCTGGACCTAAATACTATGATTTTAAATAAATCTGATAATTGAAAGTGAAAATTCATGGAATGCCTTAATGTTTTGCCTGAGTCTAAGAACTTTTACTTAACACATAATTCATTATTAACTTGAACTTTTACTTAATTATGTCATTGATTTCTCCCAGTTGTCAGAAATTACAGATTTATAAAGTTTCTTTTGCTGTGATAGAAGCCCACCAACACAGCAAATTCTCTATTCCCATTGGGATGGACTTGCATGTTTTCATGACAAAGTCCACTATGCCATGTCATTAAAGCTCTTCGTTAATTTCAGTATAATTTATATTTGCTTTTTAGAAGAGGCATAGATTTTTGAATCCATTTATTGAAAAAATGGCTATTTCAATATTTACCCTTGTGATTATCATTAAATACAACCATTATATTTACCTTTTTATTTGATGGACTTATTCCCAAATAGAAAAATTTTATAGTCACTAATACTACTTTTACAAACATTATTGTAACTGTATTTTGTATTTTTTTAAAAGACCTCACATTCTAAGTATTGGTGACAAAGAAAATTATTGACTTTGAAAGCTCTAGATATATTATCAATAAACTACTTTTGAATTGTTCAAAATTTTTTATCAGATTTTGAAGATTTTTGCCCATATTCTACTTTCTTTATTTATACATTCACTCATTCATTCCTTCAATAAACATATACTGTGCAGCTAAGCACATGTGTCAACTGCTGGGCCTGCAGAGATGAATGAGATATGGCACCTGTCCCCAAGATTTGCTTTATTGATGTAGAAGTGGGAGGGTAATAAACACAGGTATAGTTTGTGAGCAAGGTGGCAAAAACATAGATCAACTTCACATATTCAGAATGGGAGAAAATGTATGAAGACCACAAACCTTTGGTTAGAAAAATGTGAGTTCCTTTCTCCTTTTTTCAGGAAGAGGATCTGAGGAAGGTATTGCTCCTTCTCTTGCATAGAAAACTAGAGCAGGTGATGTTGAGATGATTCCCAGCTGGTGCAGACATGGGGCTGGCAGGAACTTCCTGGGAAAAGCAAGGACACAAAAAAGTTCAGTAAGGCTGTTTGAGAAACACAGTGGAAGGTAAGGAAGCCCTCTAGAAAATCACAGCTGTGAAGAAAAAAAAAGCTGACCCTATGGGTAGAAAAGGAGGGCAAATCTGTTAAAGTAAACTTGTAGGTAACACCTGAAGAAGAAAAACAGACAAGAAATTATCTAACTTGAGGAAACCCACATTTGAAGAAGACAGCTAGATCAATACCCTGGCCAATATGGGGATTTGACCCAAAAACTAATGGGTTTTCAGTGCTGTTGGGATGCAGACATATGGAGAAACTACTCCATCAAAGAACAGACGAACAGTCATCACAGGTACTCTCAGTGTATGACCCAACTGGATGAATCTAGATGACAGCACAAGTACAGGTTGCCAGGCCTCCTGGGAGACGACAGAGGGACTTAGATAAGGCTGAGACATATAAACCCTGGTGGTATGTATCCAACAAATGCATGGCAGTGTCACTCTGGTCCAGTGAGACTGGCTTCAGCACCCAAAGAACCTTCCAATAGAACTTCTTTTTCACCACCTCCTTGGCCACTCCAACCACCCACACCCATTGGGTCAGGCCACACAAAAATAACCAAAAATTTGGAATTCTCCACTACAGCAAACTCTGCTGAAGAAAGAGGCTCATATCGCTTATTCCCTGGTTCTTGCCAATTTTACATAACTTGTATATTTACCTTGATTCAGATTCCCAGCCTGCCCTGATTTTAAATGTGTGTTTGCCATTTAGCCTACATCTTGACTTCCTAAATTCCTGGTCTTAAAACATTGAATATTATTTCTGGATGATCCAGGGCTTGGGATCACATAATACCAGTAGCTTTTTCAGAGTTATATACAGTGGTGCCACATAAATCAGCAGTGGTGCCACAGCAACATGACCTGCTCATAAGGCAAGTACACCTATTGGAAAAAAAGTGCAGGTGTTAAGAGAGGTAAGCCAGAGGACTACAGGTGTTAAGAGAGGTGAACCAGAGTCAGTGCAGACCAGGCTGGAGACTTCAGTTTTTGTGACCAGAGCTGTAAGAAACCACCTAACTCAAGAGGGATGTGCTATGTCAGGGTGGCCCTCCCAGAAATAATGCATCCTACCCTAAGACTTGGAGATGATTTGCTGATGAGATTAAGTACGGTGCCTCACTGTATAACATCAGGAGGTGACTAATTTGGTCCTGGAAATGTAATCCGTGGAAACCATTCAGTGTATTTGTAGGTTCAACAGAGAGATAATGAAATGAAAGCTGAAAATAAAAGGATGTTTGTTCTCTTGGAAGCAATAAAAAGCAAAGAATAAGAAGTTAATAATATATGACCAACACTGAAGAAGGAAGTGGGTCCTGATTAATGTAATATCCGGATCCACTGAACAAGAAGATCCCATTAGCTCAGAGATAATCATGAGGTTGCCGTAGCATTATTATTTTACTCAATGAATATCTACTATGTGCCAGAGTACTGTGAAGTGTTTCTAGCTAGTTAAGTGGGAAAATAAGGCAGAATCCTTACATTTGTGGAGCTTACACTATTTTAGGGAAGACAGATATGTAAGCAAATAGTTTCAATACTGAGTTAAGTGCTTTGATTCAAAGTACCATGGAAATCCAGAAGAGGGAGTCTAATATTCCTAGAAGGGTCAGGGAAAACTTCTCAGAGGACAGTGACTCTAGAAAATAACAATTCATCTACCCAGCTAGCCAATCTTCCATCCATCCATTCCTCACATATGTACTGAGCACCTCTGACTATTCTGGATGCTAAGGATACAGCATTGAACAAGGCCAACAAAACTGTACTTCAGTGAAATTTACATTCTGGTAGGATATGGGTAGAATTACCAGTAGATATGCAGATGGGCTCCTTAAAACCATGCAACATTCACCTTCTGGCCTCATTCCTCTCCCACATATATTTTCCTACTGGGACAGGGTGTCCTGGCTGCTCAAACTGGAGCATTTTGATCTTTGTGTTAAGTATAGCTCTCACCATGAAACTGTTGTTGGAGAAACTCCCAGAACTTCAGTTCCTCTTGCTGACATAGTAAATAATTACAGATCAGAAAGCCCATTAATGTGCAAACAGAGTGTGTTAGCACTAAGTTCTAATGGGAGAGCAAAAGCAAGGGTGGCAAGAGCAGAATGACCAGACGCTGCATAACCAAAAAGGGGGTAGACAGAGGACCCCCAAGCCAGAGGCCAGCTGGACAGGATTCTGCCCAACCCCCCACAGTGTAGCAAAAGAACCAACAGAGCCCTTTGTTCTAAGAACTTACATAGTTTGTGGGATGGGGGTGAGGGAGTTACATATTGATTGACACTAAAGGCAATGCCAGCTTTCCTGGGAAGACTTGACTACCCAAACGTAGGTATTTCTGGGGGCCTGTTAGCCTGAATCCTTATCTTGCTCCAGACTCCATTTGTTCATTTTGCACACATGACAGGAGGCAGGCAATTAACCACAGTGGTTTTACGGGCTTTTCTTCAGTCACTGTGAACCTCCCCTTCCCACCCCTCTTCTCTTCTAGGGCTTAGAATGAATACACAGTCTCACGGTTTTCCTTTTCCCAGCTAGTGGAGATGATACACACAGTTTCAAGGGTTACCCACTTCCTGTACTATCATAGTTTTGCTTGTTATTTGGAATGCCTGGCTGCCTGATTGAACCAGGCTCAGGACTGCTGGGTCAATGAATGAGACACATCTTCCTTTGTTTCTAGTCTCCTTTATTCAGTTCTTTTTTAGAATGTCCTGGTCTTTATTTCCCTGTGGCCACTCATTCCTAGCTGCTATGTAGCCAAACTAAGATGCCAACTGATTGCTTACCATCCCAATGGAATAAATCCAAAAGGGAATGATCAGATAAAATCAAGTTTCTGAAACTGCAGCCCTGAGAATCAATTTCATAGAGAAATAAACGTGAGAAATGAGATGTCTAGACTGACATGAAAAATCCTTACCTTACTTTCCCAATGGAGATCTTTCCTGCCAATGGAAAAAAATGAGTTACCTTCCCCAGTAAAAGGTTGGTGGAAAAATCATCAAGAGTTTCTGTATGAATCCCAGAAAGAACTCCGATGCCCAGCAGCTAACAGAAGTGGTTCAAGGGACATACCCCATTTCTCGGTCTCCCAGGACAATGGGGTCCCTTCAGTCATGCCTGCAGGAAATGTCACACTGATTCACAGTGTAGAGCCAGACCTCAGACAGCCAGAAACTCTGCCGTACCCACTTCCTGAAAGAACACTCAATGCCTTCTCTCCGAGAAGGAAGTGAGAGACCCCAGGGCTCTGCACCTCCCCTTCTGCACACGGCAGTCCCTCTGCAAAGAGACACATGACCTCTACATCCTTCTAGGACTGGGACCCACTTCATGGCATTTCCCTTGAAGGTGACAAGGGAAAAGTTTTCTAGAGAAAGCAAACAAGCTCCCCACCGCCCCACACACCACCACCATAAGGGAAAAAAATTCAAGCCACAGTGGTTATAAGCCAGAATAGCCTTCAAAGATCTCAGGCTACTCCTATAGAAATGACCACAATTTCCCAACAGAAACAAGAGGAAGGAAGTTAGAAGCTTCTGTGAGGACAGTTGGTATCATTTTGAAAACTCATAGTTCCTGTTTTAAATCCCTCAACCTACTAATTTTAAGTGTTATATACCAGCTTTTCCTCATCTTTATATACTTCATTTCTTTTTTTAAATTTTATTTATTTATCTTTGGAGAGAATGGAAGAAAGGGGAAGAAACATCAATGTGTGAGAGATACATCGATTGGTTGCCACCTAGCCCGCAACCCAGGCATGTGACCTGACTGGGAATCACACCAACAACCCTAGGGTTCCCAGGCCTGTGACTCAATCCACTGAGCCTCACCAGCCAGGGCAATATCCTTCATTTCTCTTTATATTTATATATATATTTTTAAATATATTTATATATTTTAATATATTTTTATTTTATTGATTATGCCATTACATTTGTTCTATTCCCCCCTCCATTCCCCTCCACACTGCACACCCCTCCCCCACTATTCCCCCCCTTTAGTTCATGAACACGTGTCTCAAGTTCTTTAGTTTCTATATTTCCCATACTGTTCTTACCCTCCCCCCTATCTATTTTCTATCTTCTGTCTATGCTACTTATTTTCTGTACCTTCTCCCCCCTTATCCTTCTCCCACTCCCCTGTTGTTAACCCTCCACGTGATCTTCATTTCTATGGTTCACTCCTGATCTAGCTGTCCTCTTAATATGCTTTTGTTTTAGGTGTGGTTATTGATAACTGTGAGTTTGCTGTCCTTTCACTGTTCATATTTTTGATCTTCTTTTTCTTAGGTAAGTCCCTTTAACATTTCATATAATAAGGGCTTGGTGATGATGAACTCCTTGAATTTGATCTTATCTGAGAAGCACTTTATCTGCCCTTCCATTCTAAATGAAAACTTTGCTGGATAGAGCAATCTTGGTTGTAGGTTTTTGGTTTTCATGACTTGGAACACTTCTTTCCAGCCTCTTCTTGCCTGGAAGGTCTCTTTTGAGAAATCCACTGACAGTCTGATGGGAACTCCTTTGTAGGTGACTGTCCCTTTATCTCTTGCTGCTTCTAGGATTCTCTCCTTCATTTTAATCTTGGCTAATGTAATTATAATGTGCCTTGGTGTGTTCCTTCTTGGGTCCAACTTCTTTGGGACTCTCTGAGCTTCCTGGATTTCATGGAAGTCCTATTGCCCTTGATTGGGGAAATTCTCCTTTATTATTAGTTCAGATAAGTTTTCCACTTGTGGCTGTTCCTCTTCCCCTTCTGATACCCCTATAATTCAGATGTTGGAGCGTTTAAAGATGTCCTGGAGGTTCCTAAGCCACCTCTCTGCATTTTTTTGAATTCTTGTTTCTTCATTCTTTTCTGTTTGGTCATTTTTTTTCTTCCTTCTGGTCCACCCCCTTGATTTGAGTCCCAGTTTCCTTTCCATCACTACTGTTTTCCTGTGCATTTCCCTTCATTTCAATTAGTTTAGCTTCCATATGTTCCTCTAATTTGTGACTAAAATCAACCAGATCTGTGAGCATCCTGATCACCAGTGTTTTGAACTGTGCATCTGAAAGTTTGGCTATTTCTTCATCGCTTAGATTTATTGGCTCTGGGGCTCTGAGTTGTTCTTGAGCCATGTTTTGATCTGTTCGTGCCTGTTACGTATGAGGAGAGGTGCCTTAGATGTTCACCAGGGCGCGGGGCCACCCAGGTCACTGGTTTGTGATGCTGTATGTGGGGGCAGGGTCAGAGAGGGAGCAATGGCGGTCCTCACCGCTCGCCCCTGCCTATTTATCTGAGCACAAATGCCTATTTATCTGAGCCCACCGCCCTGCACCACATGGTCTCAATACTGTCTCTTCACTGGTTTATCTGCCCTGGTTTATCTGTGCACAAATGCGCTACTGACCGCAGACAGCCAGCCACACCGCGCCTTCCCTGTATCTGCCCATAGCTAGCCCGCACCTGGGATCCACGCCCTCGGCTGCCTGCGCACCGCCCGGGTTGGGGTATCTTTTTTGCCTGACCCGCTCCACTGCTGGCTTCACCCCTCTCACCGGTTTAGCTGAGCTGTTCATTATTTTCAGACTCTGTATTGTTAATTTCCTGTGTGGTTTGATTGCGTTTATTGTTAAAACTTTGTTGTGGACTTCTGCCAAGATGGAAGCATAGGTGGAGACACTGTGCTTTCTCACACAACCAAGTTTAGAGACAACAAAATATTAGCAACAGAAAACATAGTCAGAAGACAGAAAATTGAACTTGCAGGCAAGAAGAGGCTGGAAAGAGGTATTCCAAGTCATGAAATCCAAACACCTACAACCCAGATTACTCTATCCAGCAAAACTTTCATTTAGAATGGAAGGACAGATAAAGTGCTTCTCAGATAAGATCAAATTCAAGGAGTTCATCATCACCAAGCCCTTATTATATGAAATGTTAAAGGGACTTATCTAAGAAAAAGAAGATCAAAAATATGAACAGTGAAAGGACAGCAAACTCACAGATATTAACAACCACACCTAAAACAAAAGCAAACTAAAAGGACAGCTAGATCAGGAGCGGAAACATAGAAATGAAGATCACTTGGAGGGTTAGCAATAGGGGAGTGGGAGGAGGAGAAGGAGGGATAAGGTACAGAAAATAAGTAGCATAGATGGTAGGTAGAAAATTAGATAGGGGGAGGGCAAGAATAGTATGGGAAATATAGAATCTAAAGAACTTGAGACACATGGCCATAAACTAAAGGGGGGAATGGTGGGGGTAGGGGGCGCAGGGTGGAGGGGAATGAAGGGAGGACTAGAACAACTGTAATGGCATAATCAATAAAATAAAAATTTAAAAATAAATTTTAAAAAACTTTGTTGTTTTTAGATTTGGTTGTGCGAGGATGCAAAGTGTTTCCACCTATGCCTCCATCTTGGCGGAAGTCCTCTCCTTCATTTCTTTTTGAAGTTATTCAAGTAAGACATGTTTGTTGTCAAAGTGTAACACACAGATAAGCATCAAAAAGATAATTAAAAATTCCCTATAATTCCAATGCCAGAAGAAACCACTGCTGGCACCGTGGTGACCATCCTTCCAGCCCTTTTTCTGTGGTGAGGTAGGTCTTAGGATGAGCTCTCAACATCTGTTCCACCCCACACCACTGTGGGACATTTGTGCAACTTGAAGAACATTAACATGATCCCTAGCTCTGACATAGATCCTGATTTGGCAAAAACAAAATTACCATAATCTATGACCTTGACACAGTGCTTTCTTACCTTAAGGAAAGGCCTTGCTTTGCTTTGCTTTGTATTGCTTACCAAAGCATTTCTTACCTTAAAGTCCCAGACCAAGCAATGCAAAGCATTCAGCTCACTGCCAAAAAGAGGCACATGATCAAGATGGACCAATCAGAGGGAAGCCTAGGATTCCTACCAAAGGTTGGAGGAGAGATACCCCTTTCTGGGTTTGAACCAATTGGTCCTGGAAGTTGTTGGCAGCCATCAATTTGTTGCTGCAACAAGACGAACTGCTTTCAGGTGAACACAGATGGTTCCAAGGGCAAAAAAAAGTATTAAAAAATCAGTTGTTAAAGAACTTTCTGAGCTGCTAAATTAAATTAACACCAGAACCTGTCTGGCTTCTGGAGTCGCTAGTTATATGAACCAAAAAATTTGCTTGTTGAAGTCAGTATAAATTGAGTTTTTTATTACTTGTAACTAAATGGTTCCTAAATGACTTGTGTAGTTACTTTTATTTTAAAATGTACATATTATTCATAATTTCCTATTTGAAAATACATCATCTTCATCTCTCCTTTTCAAGATGTACTTAGACAAAATCATTAATTTCTTCAAAGTAGTCCACTATATGGACAGACTTTAAATTACTTATCCAATCCCCTATTGTGAGGCATTTCATTATTTCTGGGCTTTTCTATATTATATAAATAACTCTGTATCAAGTCTCCTAAATATTAGGGAACATACTTATTTCCTTAGGATACATTTCTGATGTAAAATTTCTGATTATGTCAGATTATGTTCTATTTAAAAGGTTTTTTATTCATATTGCCAAAACCCCTCCCAGAAGATTGTTTTGACAATATTCCTATCAACAGAGCACAAGAATGCCCCCCAAAAACTTCCTCCCTCCTCCTCCCACCCAAGAACCCTCAACACATATGAAGTTTCAACACAAAATCTCTGATAAATGGTTCCCATCACTGTTTAATTCATATTTTTAAAAAACCATATAGAGTGCTTATAGTGTTTAATTTTTCACATATTTATTCACTTACTATGTTGTTCCTTTTCTGGATTTCCAGACACTTTTCCCATTTTAAATTGAAGCACTTGCTTATTTTTCTATTTTCAAAGTAAAATACAGACTTAATTATCTTTTAATTAAAGAAAAATGTTTCTTAAAAAGAGTTACTATATGACCTAGCCATTTCATTCTAAGATATACGCCCAAGAGAAGTGAAAACATACATCCACACAAAAACTTGTACAGAAATGTCCACAGCAGTATGATGCATAATAGTCAAAAAGTGAAAACAACCCAAGTGTTCATGAACTGATGATGAACAAACAAAATGGGGTATATTCATACAACAGAGCATTATTCAGCCATAAAAAGGAATGATACCTCCTACAACATGTCTGAGTCT